AAGTCCCTCCCCCATCCACCTTTATTCTTTTCTTCAAAATAAGGCTTACAAATAAGTCATGGTTGTACGGCAGTGAAGCATCGGTTTTGAACACTGATATCCTGCTGTCAATGGTGATGCTGAGCGGTGGCGGAAGTCGGATATAACATGCATCATACACATTCTCGTGGATACAAACACCCTTATTTCTTTTCCTATTGAAATCATTTGGTATCAGTTCGGAAGTTCTTTTCCCACCCAGGAAAGAAAGTGGTGCTTCAAGAAGCTTTTTAAGGTTCACGGATTTGGCCGTAGATTATCCAGAGGAACTCGTTTCCGGAACAAGGTTTGTCCATTCAGCATCAATTCATTTAAATAACCCTTGCGAGATAAAACCTGATCAAATTAGGTTGCTATTTGCGTCTCTAGGAGAACTGTAACCTTTTTTTCACGCAGTAAACGGCTGTCCATGTCTTTGACAGCAACCTACGACTGTTTCAGTCGTTGGGATCCAATTCTTACCTTTTTTCTGTAAGCCTTCATCCCAGTTATCCTCAGCACCATCTGCAACTCCTCATAGCTGCCAGCCACCCGTAGCCTATCAATGCAATAGTCCTAAAAACTTGACCTTACTATGACCACTTCAGCCCAGTATTACATCCTGTGTAGGTTTCGAATCAGTAAGTTCAACATTCTAGAAGTGAGCACAAATGGCAGTGTTATCTGATATCATTTCGGAACAAGAAACAGCTTCGTTATAAGCAGTATGTTTCATCAGTGAGCTTTGATTCACCCGGGTCCTTTAGGACGCAGCCCTGAAGGATGCAGTGATGTTTGCGATGTACGCTACTCACACCTAGGCTAGACACCAATAGGCGTTTATTGTTGCCAGTTCGAAGGTTCAGAGAATCGAAACGAGTCTCATGGGAAACAGAGTTGCTTATAGTGAGTAAAACTGTCTCGTCCTTGTGAAAAGTACATGCCTGTAAAGACTACCTCGCAAAGCTATAACCTGTCATCAGCAGTTAAATAAACTGAAATCTCCCACACGCCAGTCCTTCAATGGCGTCAAACCACGGACACTGTTATCTACGTTGTACGCTGCTATCATGCTGACACCCCTGTCCCCAATTTGACTGCAGACCTGCAGCTCATACAGCCATCCAAATTAGAACAGCTCACTCAAAAAACTGACGATTCTTCCCGAATCAATACTGCGCTTGCAATTCTTACGAACCTCTCTGAAAAACTTTGTGAGAACGTAAAAGTTGGACGGGACACCGAGTTCCTTCCTAGTACCATTTTGTTAGGCCCAATGCATCCATCTCATGGACATTTCTGACATGATAATTTAGGTTCATAGAAATCTATCAGCTGCAACACCCTTTTGGTGCCTAGCTGCCATGCTGCCCGAAGTAAGCATGAAGGCCGGGATACTGTCATATTGCCCAAGCCTTGACAGGGGAAGTCGAGAGGCCGAAGTCGGGTTCGAACCAAGCATCTTCCGGTCAGTAAATTCGCGCTCTAACCACTTGGGCCATCTCGCCCCCATCTCACCGAAGTACAGCTCTGAAGAAATTTCCCTGTGTGCTGCTCTGTGATGCTAGCCACGTGCATGCACACGGTACCAGCTGATAGACCTCCAGTCGAATTTGACAGCAGTCGGTCGTAGTGAGGCATTTTTTGCAAGCCATTGCTGAACTGAATAGCAGGGGCAAATGCATACAATAATTTGTTAAATCCCCTAAACAAAACAAGAACAATAGTCACAAATTTCTTGCACATCTAAAAAACAAATTAGTTGCAGTCTAGTCCTTTTGCTTTTTCTTATCTCGTAGCCAGATTATTCAAAAGGTGACCGAGTCAAATCACAGGGTAAATCGCTTTGGGACCGTTTTGTGACCCTCCTTGCTTCGAGCTGAAACGACTGATTGGTGCAATCACTGCCTAACCGGTTAATCGGAACGACCCGGCGATTAAATTCAAACTGTCGACCAACCAACTGAATAATCGATGGTACTAACTGATCACTTTTGATAATAAACCAAGCATAATTCATGTTTTTACCCTCGGTCACGAAGGCCGCCAACAACCCTATTAGGCTTGTAACGTTTAGTCATTGATATGGCTGATATTACTTATTGGCAATGAGAACCAGGTGAATTCATCCTGCACCAATTAGAGCAACTTCAGTCGAAAGTGTTTGATGAAGCAGATATCAGATGTATTTGTAATGTACTACTCATAAGGTTGCTGAAAATCCGCCGACAGCACATGACCGGTTTCGCCTTTTTTGGGGCTTATCAGCGCAGTCCTCGGGTTTCCGTCAACCTTATGTTCTACTTGAAACGAAATTGCACGAAATTAGCGAATATACACTCATTTGCAAACTAATTTGGTTTTTTCGAGAAGACGCACCTGAACCCAGCTGAATCTCTCGTTTGTGATGTTCTCAGATATCAGATGGTTTTATTGTGAGAAATGATACACAGAGGTGAGCCTTGTCACGCCTCTCTGGTTTCTGTCGGATCGTCACTTGGGTAAGGATCTCCTTTGCGGACGATTTTACGGATACGGAAAGTGAAATTCTGCTTACCGTTGGTACATTTTACAAGTGAAACACAGAGTTTTTTATCACACAAAAGGTTTTTCTGCATATTATCCTTTTGTTGATATTCAAAGATGACCACTTCTCACTCTAATTTGGGTTCAATTTTGTCCTAGAAGAAGGTTTCAAGGTCACTTTGTTTATTATTAGTGTACACTTACAAGGATGCATTTAGAACCCGGCATATTTGTTTGGAAATTTAAGTAAGTAAAATTATATAACAGTGGCATTGATAATAATAATCACGACAGTAATGGTAGCAATATTACAAGCAAGCAGTAACATCAGCAATGACATAGACGCATTACTACCAGACTGCCACAAATCATGTTTAGTTCAAGGTAGAAACCGGGGAGAGAATGGAAGGACAAGGACCTTGATGTTGGTTGATGGCAATCACTCTAAAACTCTAACAAACGCTCAATCAGATAATCTGGACAGCACGAAGTCCCTCTCCCGTCCACCTTTACTCTTTTCTTTACAATAAGGCTTTCAAATAAGTCATGGTTGTACGGCAGTGAAGCATCGGTGTTGAACACTGATGTCATGCTGTCGATGATGATGATGATTTGGTACGCATAACGCTTAACCAAGGCATCATAGCTGGTGGTGCTGCATAAACAAATACCTATTTCAACGTTTTCTCATGCTATTCAGCAGAAAAAATGGTTCTGTGACATCCGTCATCGTATAGTTGAAGAAACCTAAGACCCTCCACCCGCGCACGCAATAAATTGCAACTGGTGTACAATACATGACCCTTGAGACACAATGATGAAGTATTCTGACATCACAAGCGACACAAATCAGTGATCACGTTCTACTATGATTTAAACCCGTTAACTATAGAACTGGAATAACTACATTTGTTTTAACTGCTAAAACTGGTCTGAAAGTTACGATGGGCCAATCCTCTCCGTTCGAATGGAGGCAATTCTTCAAGGAGATCGATTCTCAACTCCCCAGGACTGCTCTGTTCGACGAAGAAAGCTGAACAAAAAAGTGACACTTCTGTCTGAAAAACGAAGTTCATTTCCATGATATGACCGATGTAGTCACTCGATTCCACCCGAATTGCGCCTTTTGAGCCCCTAATTCACAGTGTCCGGCCACAGTTCAACCTACTGTATGAAGTTCGGATCAGATTGGCCAACAGTATTTTGAGTTCTACTTGGTGTGTTACGTTGTGGACGGTGCTTGTAAGACTGAGCAAGCTGTAGTTCTTGTTCCAGCAACGCCCCTGTAACAAACTTGTTGCTTCAAGCCAGTTCTGTCCAGTTTTCACATTCCACATGCTGCTAACAGGTCATGTGGGTACGAAAAGTACATCTGAGCGTCGTATAATTCTAGTTTAATCACCTGAAAATCTGGTCAATCGAATTCCTTCAGTTCTTCTATCTTGCTAGGCAATGAATGTCTCTCTAGCCATGGTTTTCTTTGGGGTATATTTTCCATTCACACGAATAATGATGCCAAAAACTGGTAGGCCCGAAGACGACCTATCTTTTGTTTCTGTTTGGGAGAACGACAGAAAACACCCAAGCCTGGGGGATGTCCTTTAGGTCATTCGATCTCTGAAACACCTTACGAGTTGGCTGAATTAGGCGGTCCAGATACGATAGCCCATTTACTGGTTAACCTGGTAGAAGTGGCTGCCTCGCGTGAATGCAACAGCATCAACTTGGTGTAAAATGCAAGTGGTCAATCCTGAGGGCTATTATCCTTCATGTTCTTGCTTTGGGACATTGTTCTGTAATCTGCGAGAGCTATCTTTATGCAACTCGCTGCAGATTTTAAGGCAACTGTGTGCGAACAGGCCTAGCAGAATCTGACCGAACAGATTGATTGACTGACTGACTGACCGTAGGGTGTAACATTCGTCTTTGAGAAATGACGTACATGTAGTTTCCACGTAAACTGGCAGTTGACTGTCTTAGACGGAGAGCAGACTAGCTTCGCGAACAAAAACCTTATTAAATACACTTCCTGCTAAAGTAGGCGGTAGCGTATCAGAGGTCATTGGTTGTAATTAAAGTGACGCGTCCTCTCGGTAGAGAAGACTTTTTGTCCAAAAACGGTATCTCGCTCTAGGCAAGCCCCGACACTGAGTTTTGTTCATGTATCGCATGGTACTAGACACAAAACGGGGAAGTCCGCAAGACGGGGCACGAATACTGTGTTGTTAGGATTATGCCAAGGATAAGGCTATAAAGACTACTACTGTCTGTAAAATATGCTTTTTCGCTGTGTTCTGTCTGCACACTGTCTTGAAAAATGGTCGTTGACTTGTTCGCTGAGCTGGGCAATTCGATTGCAAACGTTTTATCACCAATCGAGGTGACATCATCAGTGCGTTATTGGGGAGCGTAGTGATGCGTAGCGGTGGGTTAGTGGTTGTGCGTTGAATGAGGACACGGGATGACAGAACAACCAACAGAACCGTTCGACCGAACAACGAATCGCGGTCAAAGGTCATCCCCGGCTACCAGCACGTATATTAACACACACGTAACGCTACTCAACGCACAACCACTAACACACCGACCGTTACGCACAACTTCGCTCCCCAATAACGCAATGATGATGTCACCCCGATCGGCGGTGAAACGTTTGCAATCAAATTGCTCAGCTCAGCGAACAAGCCAACGACCACCATCTACGCTACCTGAGCTGCCGACATTTTCCTCTATAGAGAAACGGTATCTTGCTATAGGCAAGCTCCGTGTATCGCATGTTATAGATATAGAACAGGGGCGTCCGAAAGATGAGGCATGCATAGATGCTAGGATCATACCAGGGATAGGGCCACAGATACTATTACTCTGTAAAATATGCTTTTTCATGGTCTTCTCTCTCCACACTCTGTCCTGAAAACTGGTCCCTGTTTCATTGCTAGCCATAAATACACATGTCGAAAAATCGGGTCAGATTCATGACGTAAGTCAATATAAAAATCAAAAGAGGAACTGTTCCGCTGTACCGTAGTGAAACTTCGGTGGTAACTTTATTGCCACTATCTGTGGTGATAGTGATGACGAAGAAGAATATCTATACCGAGTGCATTAGATCCCCAATTTCGGGCTTTCATGATTCGAAATAGCAGCAGGGTTATCTGTCCTAATACTGGACATAATCGCCATAAAGTAGGGTGAGTAACAGTCAGTCGAATGTTGGGGCTATCAGACTTTTCAAGCAGAGAATGAAATCCGTTTTATGTGGCGAACGAATAGAATTCAATATGGTGCGCATGAATCGCTGCAAACCTTGCAGGGATCCCACAATGGGGCTTACAAGCAGATGGTATAGAGGCGGTTTATACCAAAAGTCCTGATCCCATAGCTACGTAGTGCATTGCACAAGAACTATGCAATATAAGGTCCTTACTTTGCCTGAGCTATTTCCTGCATGAGCTTCCTAAGATCAAGCATGTCGATTTTCGGAGCTCAGTGTGTCTAATTTAAAAACGCTGGGCTTTGAACTGCAACTTTTAACTGGTGATGACTTCCATCAAGTCTTATTGATGTAACACAGGGTATACATCACTAGTGCCCAACTTACATGAATAAATATTGCGATCCATACTGCGTACCGGCGCAGCTGTTAAACAATATCGTTTTCTTGTGGAGGCTTCCAAAGAATTGTGACATGTGGTGGTTGGCACACAAACCATGCTTAAGCTGTCCAGTGCGTCTGACTTACTGGCCTGTACCTGTCGAGCTGCGGAACAACGCCGTAAATGGGCCTCTCCATTTTGCAGCTTTGTATCATGCAAAACAGCCAAAGATGAAGATGAAGCAATCCGTCTTCCATTAAAACCAGACCTTCTTGGAGTCCTATCTAGATAAGCTTGCGCTTTTCTAGCTATCGGCTTTTGCGGATTGGTAAGGTGGCTCTGAGTTGTTTGGTACGATAGAAAAGAAGCCTTCAGTGCGGGCGGTTTCCAAGGTGGCCTGGGTGTCACTTTCCGCCGGGCAACGTTCTCTTTCAGGCAGTCTACGTGCTGCCGCTCAAACCAGTATTGATCAGCTTCTTCGACATAGGCCCTTATTTGTGGTGGAGATTGCCCTAGTTTTGGCCGGTGAATAGAACTGCTTGATGACGAGAGTGAGCTTGCAGTTACTTGAATTGGTGAATAGAGAATTGTCTGCTCATGTTCGACCAATTTGGTTGCATTGTCGTTTCTCTGGAATTCCGATTTTTCCGTAGCCAGACCATCCGTGATCGGTTCCACTCGTATGCTGGTAAGCAAATTCTTTGAGGACGTGGATGCTGTTGTGCGTGACAATCTGATACCCATTTTACCTAATCCCCTCGGTTGTAAATCATCACGTGTGTCTGAGTGGTAGTTGGCTGGTTGTCTTACGCTGTGCCACAGTCAGAATCAGCTGAACCCTGCCACAGTCACGTGATTTTTATTCGAATAAATAACGGATCAATATCACGTGTCACTATTGCCTCCAAACTATGCCTATGTCTCAGCAGGGTAGGGAAGATTGCCAACTAGCTGCAAGTGCTTGGGCTTGTTCAAGTGCCTTTTACGCGTGTGTTAAGTGGTCTGTGGTTAACTCGAATGGGTAAATGCTTCAATGTATTTCTTGTCCACTGAATTTCCCTTATTCAAGGGGATTTTCGAAGTTCCTGTTCAAATTCACACAAGGAGTAGGGACAGAAACATAAAACACAGAGCCATGTGGGGCCAAAAAGTCCTGTCAGAGGGACATGCTTCCAAGAAGCTTCTTATGCCTGATTGCTCTCGTCTCTCATTCCGCCTGGCTTTTCAAAACTGTGTTTCGATATGGTATTTCCACAACAAACTGTTCACCACTTGGTGAACACAACCCACACATCGAACCAATTTAGTTTGTCTCAAGATGGCCATATTTGGGCTAGATTCCGAAAATCCTAATCAGTTGAAAGAAAACAGGGAACCGCTTTTATGTTCGTGAATGCGTAGTGTGTGTGGTAAGAAGTCAAGTCCAAAATGCGAGATATTGTCTCCTGGGTTTGTTTTATCCTGAACTTTGGGAGCGATGGTTTGAGTTTTAATTCACTTCTCCACCGAAGACATCCTGTGAAGTTGTCATGCCAAATAGTCTGCACTTCTGAGGCCCTCAACGGCATTCATTCATTCAGGCTATTGCCTTTACTATATATAAAATCTCCCGATCTTAACGATGAAAGTTCCACCAACACTTTTGTAATAACTCATCAGTTTTATTAGCGACTGCCTTCAATGCGCAGTCATCTACCCCACCTATCCAAATCAGCGGTGTTCGAAACCGTGGCCGCCACAACCACGGTACGGCAATTACGCGGTTTTTGCTGCTGATGGTGATGAGGATGCTGATGATGTTCAGATGATCTTTCAGAAACAAACTACTGGGTAATTTCGCACTTATTCAACGTCTCCGTCGGAGGTCGTATTCCGGCAAGACACCTAAGGGATATGGTATGAAGCAAAACTTGTCCATTTACATTGCCCAACGTGAAAACCGTATTCAATCATTCTCCGAACAATGATGCGACTGAACTCGAGAATAGCTAGAAATTGCCCAGCGCTGCACTATTGAGTTGAGCTGAGGGCTATTGGATATTTGAGTCTGCCATTTTACACGTTGTTTTTCCATCATCATCATCATCATCATCATCATCATCATCATCATCATCATCATCATCATCATCATCATCATCATCATCATCATCATCATAGACAGCAAAATCAGTGTTTGCAGTGATGCTTCACTGCCGTACAACTATAAGGTCCCTCTTTCTATATATTTATATATATATATAATTATAATTATAATAAAAGCCCCACTGGGAAGAGAAGAGAAGAAAAGAGTGGGTGAGGGAGGGGACCTAGTGCTGGCCTATGTCAAGCATACCGAGGTGCCTACACCCCCAACCGTTCAATCAGACAATCTGGAAAGAAACTGACAGCACGAACGCCACTGACATCGATTAGCCGCCGTTTCTTGCAACGTCTCCAGCCAAGCACAGGCGGGGTCACGGGTATCGCATCCTGGAAGGCGTGCAACACCAAGAAAAGCCAAACTCTCCGTGATCTCCTTGACGCCTTTTTGTCAAGTCATGGGCTGTCCACCTCGCGGTTTGTGCCGTTCTGAAGGCCTTATGCTACCGAAATTTTTAGACCAATTATCCTTGAAGGATGCATAGCTAGCGCATTCAGTCCTCGAAAGCACATTTCAGTATCAGTTCAGTTCAAGAAAATACATATAACATGTGTAACTTAGGCCTCATATTTGATAATACAACTGGCCCTACTTTGTTTCAAACAGCTTTGATTTGGTCTATAGTCCCCATGTAACACCCAAATGCGGAACCATGAGAAATTCTACTGTGATTGGAACGCCAGTAGAATCTTTGAGGTAAATGCGGCGAGCAGACTGTTAACGAGGATAAAAATCGAGGATATGGGACTGACGTGCTGCAACATCCCGCATTTCGCTTGAAACGTTCAAGTAGTGTTTCTCTCCAACTCCTCAAAGGAGAATTAAGGCCTGGCGATTCATCTATGTGATTTGTCTGAACTTTCCACAGAAGTTGATGATCCACGGGAAAAGAAGCCTTTTAAAGGCCCAGATAGATCCCAAATCAGCCGACCAGTCATCTGTTATAGCAGGATGGTTGAAGGTAAATGTTTTTTTTTGAGGAAACCATGACATTCTACGGCTTGAATGCATTCTTCGGTGCTTTCGCAGTTTCTACTCGTTACTATGGCATTCATGATTTCGGGCACCACCGGTAGGGGGGCCAAACATCGGCCGTTAGTTAGCCTGCCAAGCTATCGGACTAAGTATGGGCGTGGTGATTTCATCTCATCACTTCGGGAAAACAACATTCCGCATCAGGCTAATCGAACTTGGTGAGCTAGAGGTGGGTCAGCATTTCTGTTGGTGACTTTGGAATCTTGAAACAGTGGTTGTCTATCCCAGTGAAATGGGTTTACTTGTATGGCTTCTGAGGTGGAAGTTTTTTTGGAAGTCTGCAAGGGATTCATTGAGGTGAGTGTGTAACAAAAACACCTTGCAGTATGTGAAACACAATGTTTGTGTTGTCAAAGATGCGGACGAGTGAAACTAAAAGAAGTCGTCAAGAGTCACCTGACTAAGGACTGATTCATGATCGAACTGCCTCCACTCCAGATAGCTTACACTGGGAATCTGGTTCCCTCAACAGAACCCTGTCACTATCTCACAACTTCTAATGTAGAATTTTCTGTTGCTGTCGGCTCATTCGACGTAATTAGAAACCAAAAGCTGTGTTCTACTCGAAGAATTCTGTTAATAAACTGACAGAATGAATTGTATTCCTCAAAGATTTGCCTTTCAGGTCCAATCTGTTACCCATATTTCTCCGCGCAGTTTAGATGTCTACACCCTCTGCAAAGGACCATGTACGCAGACCATGTATCGTTGTTTGAATCTGTTCCACACTACATCCGATTAAGCTATCCGTGTACCAGTCCCATGGGCACGAAATCCTGTTTGTCATTGTGGTTTACAAACATTTTCCTGAAGTTCTTCAATGGTCAGACTCCAAATTTCTCCGTAAACGTCATTCATTTGTCCTCAATCAGTGCCCATGAGCTCCCACGCATGCCCTCTAGCTAGAATCGCCAATGGATTGTACCGCCTACATTCATGCTGCTTGGTTAGGTCGCGTAACACGGAAGATGCATTCGATCATTTAGCGGGACAGTTCTGGACTAAAGCCTTAGTCATTTGTGAGCCAAACATTTTGATACATTTTAAGATGTGTACGAGTGCCAGCTCTCCAAAAACATTAAAAATTTTCCATTTCGCGTCCTCCAAAAAAGCCGATCAGCCACTTGAGTCTCTTTCATATCANTCCAAAAACATTAAAAATTTTCAACTTCGCGTCCTAAAAAAAAAAACCGATTAGCCACTTGAGTCTCTTTCATATCAGGTAAAATGAACCTGAAACAAGAATGACTGATTAATGTGGGGGAGTATGCACGTCTATCTGGGAATAGCCGGTAGCCAAGACAGCTTTACTTAGGCACGTTTCGATTCTAACTGTGGGTGTCTTTTTTGGCTTGAAAGTTCTAGGTTCAGATGAAGAGAAGAAATTATCGGACCACTTCTTTCTCCTAAGGCAGCAACTCAGACCTGCTGACATCTCTGTGAAGAAGAATTTGCCACGACAGAACATAAATACTCAGCGGCATTTTCCAACGGCACAAATTGTTGAAGCTTCATTTTTGGCAGAAATTAAGCGCGATTTTAGCGGGCTTCTTCAGAGTAATATGACTCTAGAATGTTGCATTAGATAACCGTATTTCACAATTCTTTCACGACGGACCTGTCACTCTACTTCTTCCTGGAGCTAGCAATCATGTGCCACGATGTAGAACAGGGGGGCTAGCTTTTCAGTTATTAGTTGTGCTTATATTTTGTAACGAAACACTGGGGAAGTACATAGTCTGGTCAGTCTGTATTTTACCAATAGCGTACATTCAGAGTATCACATGGATCACTTCCGTTTGCTCAAGGTTACGCTGAAAGGTAGCACGCATTTTACGAGATTCTAGGAGACGGGTTTGATGGAAGTTGGCAAACTATGCCCATGTCCGCTCTTAAGGAGTTCACTCGGCTGGAGACAGAATTACCTCTTTTCTTATAGTGGACACCATCCTTCGTACAAAACAAACCATGGCTTGTGTTACCTTTTGATCAGATGATCTGCACAGATCGTAGTTTATCCCCGGTGATTCCCAGGCCCCGTTTTCCCAAGCAGATTGTTTTTACTTCCGAAAGTAGTAGGTTCAAACAACTGTGAGTTAGAATTGAAAACGACGCCATTCGTATCGGAAGCAGAGGTGGATGTTCACGAAAATCACACCAGCATGAACGAAATCAGGAATATTCACCTCAAAGTATGAATCGAATCAATGGTAAAAACAACTGGTTGTCTTGATAGACAGGCCTTTTAAACAACCGATTTCTGCTATGGCACAGCAACCACAATGTTATGACCTCAGATTAGACTGTTCTATGAACATGTGAAACGGGAGAGAAAACGGATGACCTCGACTGATTGGACTAAGCGGTCTGATGAGGTCACCCGCATACTTTGCGCATGGTGCGAATTTTACACATGGGGGCAAAGATATTCTTCCAGTAGAGGTGAAAAATAAACCTGGAATCAGTTGTGAGAAATCAGCCAGGTGAACACCGGCAAAAAAATAAGTTATCTGTGAAACACATTGGCAACTATCGCAGAGTAAACAAACATGCTAGT